TCAGTGGCTGTGCCCCAGAATAGGTGGGGTCTCTGAGGGGATCTGCGGGACGTCTGTTGGCAGGGGTCACGGAAGGGGTGCCTGAGGATGAAAGGCATTCTGGCTCAGGGCCACCCTCGGTTCTTTCGGGGTTTGGGGCAACAAACTAAACACCTGCATCAGTGCCTGGGAGCGTCCAAGGCCCCTGCCTGGGTTCAAGCCTGCAGCTGGGTCACCACGAGGGCAAGGCACTCAGTGATTTTCTGAAAGGACACAGAAAGAAATGGGGGAAACTGAGAGACTCTGCCAGGGAATGAGGGTAGCTCCATCCAGCCAGGGCACTCACCTGCTCTTGTTCCTTATCCACTCTTTCACTTAGGATGGCAGGGAAGCCAGCAGGCAGGTGGGAAGCCATGGCTCCCAGCCCCGACAGAGCCACCTCAGGACAGGAGAGCTGCTGCAGGCTCAGTCACTTCAGTCACCTGGACTCTCACAGTGTCCCGGCAACTGACCACCATCTTGGGAATGTTAGGTTAGTGGCTTTAATCCACACACCCACCTGGTGTGTGTTGGGAGCTGTTTTGCAGACCTCGAGGTCAGAGGGAGTGAGAAATTTGGCTGGGGTAAAGTCCTGACTTCGCTGCGTCTCCTGGGCAGCAGCCACCCTTCCTGGGCCTCCGTTTCCCCAGAGAATTTCTTGAGTAGGACTAGTTCCGTGCAGGAAGTGGATGGGCAGGACAGGTTCCATGTGGGAGGGAGCCACCAGCAGGCAGGAATTAATTCACCTGTACCGGCTGTTAGCAGTACGACTGTCGCTGGAACAAAACACCTGACACCTGTAATTTAAGGGAGGTTTGTTTGGGCTCACAGTTTCAGGGGTTTCATTCCATGGTCTGCAGCTTCAAGGCAGAAATGTGATGGTGTTGAGGTCTGGTACACCTCTGGCAAGCACAAGGCAAAGCACAGACAAGGGAGGGTAGGAGGAATGAATGACCGGAGACGCTGAGGTAGGGCCCAGGGAAAGACCCCCATTAGCAGAGGAGGAAGAAGCAAGAGGGGCAGAGAACCTGAGAGGTGGCACAGGCAGCTGGAAGACAGCATGGTGTTCGACGAAGGCCTGGAGAGTGGGCACCTGTGCTCGGCCCCCAGAAATGTGTGAAAGTGTTGGGTGAGCAATTCCCTGGTCACATCCACCACAGAACAGCCATGAGGCATTTCCTCAAGGACGGACTGATACAGTAAACACATGCATTATGATAAATAATGCATTTGGCTTTTTTCTTTTTTGGTACTGGGGATTGAACTTGGGACCTTGTGCTTGTGAGGCAGGTGGTGTAACCACTGAGCTAAATCCCTGGCCCTGCATTTGGCCATTGTATTTTTTTTTGTTCAGAACAAGGTCTGACTATGCAGTTAGGCCAGCCTTGAACTCACTATATAGCCCGGGTGGCCTCAAATATGTGATCCTCCTGCTTCAGCCTCCCAAGTGCTGCGATATGGTATATGCCGCCATACCCAGCTCCACACAGGTTTTGTAAATGACACTGACTAAAAAGCAGATGATGAAATTTAGGTGCTTGACTTAGGGAATGTAATAGCTTCAAGAGAACTCTCATGATGGCACTTGCATGGTCAGGAAATTTCATGGGGGGGTTGGATTGAAGGGTTAAATTGATATGATAAAAATAATTTCATTTGAATGAAAATTGAAAAAGTCATTTATTAACCATTTGAACAAACATGCAAATTGATCAGGAGTTAAATTGGCTAGATAAATCCACAATTTTATTAATTTTTTGGTACCTGGGATTGAACCCAGCCCTTCACACTGAGCTACATCCTAGATCTCCATTTCTTCTTTTTTTTGGGGGGGGGTCCCTTTCTTCTTTTGAGACAGGGTCTTGTTAAGTTGCTGACTTGCCCAGGCTGGTAAAACTTACCATTCTCCTGCCTCAGCCTAGCAGAGTGCTGGGATTGCAGTCATGTGCTACCATGCCTGGCTTAAAATTCATTCTTGGTGGGCTGGGGATTTAGCTCAGTGGTTTCACCGCCTGCTGGGCAAACACAAGGACCCAAGTTCGATCCCTGGTACCAAAAAAAAAAAGAAAAATTCACTCTTGGAAACACTTTCTCAACAAAAATGTAATGGTGGCATAACTGTAGTGAAAACTTGGCATTCGTGGCACAGAGTGAAAATGTCCAGTGAAGAGTACAGACCGCAACCAGGACGTGTCCCGGCCATGATCTGGGTGGAGGAGCATTGTAGGGTGCCAGGAGCTGAAGTGTTGGCCTCCACTGCGACAGATTTCAAGATTCACTTGCTCTGTGGCCTTTAAAATATATTCTAATTCTCATTCTCTACAGTGTTTGTCTATGAACATTTGTAGATATTTATGTTTTTTTAAATGGTGCACTGCAATATACATATGGAAAAGAACATGAAAACACACGTGTACTATTTGATGAAAAATTACAAGGAAACTTAAAAATGGTGGGGCAAAAACCAGCAGCAAAATACAGCCTCTCTGGGACCTGGCATTGAGAATACGTGGAAAACAACAATTTAGTGAAGGAAAAAGAAGTAAATCTCTGGGAATTAGAAAAATAGTAGGGCGTAGTGATGCATGCCTGTTATCCCAGCACTCGGGAGGCTGAGGGAGTAGGATTGCCTTGAGTTGGCCAGCCTGGACTACACAGTGAGTTCCAGGGCAGCGTGAACTATGTAGTGGGACCCTGTCTCAAAAAGAAGTGATTAATCAGGGGCCATTTTGGGGAGCGGTTAGTTCAGTGTTTTAAGACTGAGCTACTCCAGGAATCAGAAGTCACAGAACAACTACCCTTCAGGGCTTCTTGGGCCACCTGGCCACAAGAACCGGTTACAGAGAGGGTGCAGAGGCTCAGGCTGGGAAGAACTTGGGGGCCCTGCCTTCTGTGGTGAGAAGCCAGGCCAGCACGGGGGCTGGGTCTGAAGGTGCTGGCAGTGAGTGCAGGGGACTGCTTGATCCTCCATCCCACCCCTCCTCCCTTCACACACACACACACATCCAGCATGGAGCTCAGTGGTTTTCCCACCAGCTCATCAGAGGTGACCCTCAGCATGGACAGTTGCCAGCGCCTGGGGCAGAAGGGCTCCTGGAGCAGGTGGGTGGCTGCAAAGCTGGGCACAGAAAACAGTGACTTGGGAGGTGTGGGGAGACAGAGCAGGTGGCGTAAGTACAGCCCTAGGGCAGAACTTTTGACAATTGCACTCAGCTGAAAGGCAGGACAGAATTCACCATTCACACACAGAAATGTGAGGAAACAAACTAGGATTTAGTAGTGACTCATGATCCCTTCCCCACATCTGGTGGATTCCAGGCCCTGGAAAGAAACCACTCATTCAGACACAGGAATTTTTTTTAGATTCACTTTTTCTTTTTCTTTCTTTCTTTCTTTCTTTCTTTCTTTTTTGTAGGGGTTTCATTTTTCTATTTTTTCTTCCTTGAGTCTTATATTTGTTTGTTCTTTTGTTATTTTTATCTAATCTTATTAATTTTCTTTTACTCCCTAAACCAATCCATCTTCCTCTTATTTTTCAAATTTTACTTTCATTTTCTTCTTCCCCACACCTCCTTTTTTATTAGTATTGCTATTAAGCTTTATTAATCTTTATATATGTAGCTGACTACACTATTATTGTTGAATTCTTTTTATTGTTAATGGTGGTGTAGTTATTGAAGCCAGTAGATATTTACTGTATGTTAATATTTGGTTTGTCATTGTGCCTGTATTATTATTATATATATTATCTCCTGTTAAGGGTGGTACAGTGGTAGCTTCTTGGTTCTTATATATCTAAAAATAAATCCAGTTTGTCTTTGACTCAAAAAAATTATGATCACTAAGGGGCCCGGGATTTAGCTCAGTGGTTCCGCCACCTGCCTCGCAAGAGCAAGGCCCCGCGTTCGATCCCCGGTACCCCCAGCCCCGCAAAATTATGATCCCTTGAGTTATAAGTCACCTTTTCAGGTCAAGAAACAAAGTCAGTACACCAGAAACCTCCTGTGTCCCTAGTACAGCCCGTTTCCCTTCAGCTGGGTGGCAAGGGACCAGGGCCAGGAGACAGCTTGGGGAGATCCGGAGGCTGGGGCCGCGGGAGCCGGGCAGGACCTGCCCCAGGGCTCTGACAGAGAAGGAACTCTGCCAGCAGGCGGCCTTGAGGCTCAGGCTGCAGCTCTTCCTCAGGTCCCCAGCACGCCAGCCCACCCTGCAGACTTTGAACTTGCGCTTTCACCTCCTTAAAACGCACCTTTCTTTTACCTGCTGGTCTTAGGGAGTAAAAGGATCTGAAGTCTGGCCAGGACACACAAACTAATCCGATAATCACGTGCAAAACGAAACCCCAAGCCCAAAAGAGTCCTGGCGGGGCCTGCAGACTTTCAGTTGTGGGGCAAACGCCCCTTGGGTGTCCCCTTGAGCGTCCCCTTGAGCGGGGCGCAGGAGGCCACGTGGTCGCCAGGCGGGGGTTAGCTGCAGGCAGAGGGTCAGAGAGTACGGAGGGCCAGCGGGGTGGGGGCGGCCAGCTGGCACGGGCAGGTGGGCTGCAGGGCATCCCCTCACAGACGTCCAGTTCCCGCGCCCGATAGGACAGAGCCCCGGGGAGCAGGGCGGCATCTGGGAGCCCTCCCGGAAGCCCTCCCCGCCTCCGAGAGGTTCAGGGAAGCCTGAGCCGAAGAAAGACCGCCCACCGTCACCCAATCCCCTACTCTTGGTCCCGCCCACACCATCCTCTCACCCAATCTCCGCGCCTGTCTCTGTTTTACCACTCCCTCGCTCAATCTTCCCGCGGTCTGCACCGCCTCCCCGGCCCTTCCCCTCTAGTTAACCAATCCTCGAGCGGTTCCTCATCTTCCCCGCCCCTATCCTTCTCTCACCCAATCGTCGATCTGATCTGCCAACTCGTCCCGCCCCTTCCCTTCGGTCTCTGAGTCTCCCCGCACTCCCGCTTCCGCCAGGCAGCGTCGCAGTCACTATCTTCTCTGCCAGGTTTGAGGCGGCCCTGGGCCGCGGCGGGAACATGGAGGAGCTGTTGAGGCGGGAGCTGGGCTGCGGCTCCGTCAAGGCCACGGGTCACTCGGGAGGCGGGTGCATCAGCCAGGGCCAGAGTTACGACACGGACCAAGGGCGAGTGTTTGTGAAAGCGAACTCCAAGGCGGAGGTAGGGCCGCCGAGGGCGCGAGTCAGGGCCCGGGTCGGGGTCGGGGACCGGCCTGCCGTCCGCGCGGCGCCTCTGTCGCCGTCTCCGGTCGGCCTGCAGCGGGGAGCTGTCACCGTGAGGAAACCCTCTGGGCCCTGGTTCACCGTGTCCCCGCTTCGCCAGGGTCTCTGGCGCTTTGCTGGAAAGCCCCGAGGGCTGGCGGATGCCCAGGGCCTTTTCAGAGGGCCCCGCCCTTGCCGTGCTTTGATCCTTTCCTTAGCGTTCCTGCCGTTGTCGTTTTCTACCCGGGAAGGAACCCTCCCTCGCGCGATCCGGGTAGTCTCTGCAAGGCCCCAGGAACCGGCTCCCACCGTTGTCTGGAGAGATCCTTCACCTTTCTCTTACGGGACTCTGTCACCTGTTTGTCCTGGAAGCTACTTTTGGAGACGTACGGAGCAATGTCCGCCTCCTCAGCTGTCTGCTCTGGTCTGGTTTTGTGCTTCCTTTAAGGGGAACCCACTCCTTACACATCTCTGTGTTTACATCTTCCCTGGCATTTGCAGTTATTCAAAACTTGGCAAGGAGAACAGGAGAAGCTGGTATTTTAAACTGATTAAAGTGGACCACCGGGTGATGCTCTTCTTTTCCCTCCTTTCGATGCTGGGGGTTGAACCCAGTGCCTTTGCACTGAGCTACGTCTTCAGCCCTTTTAAAATTTTTCATTTTGAGACAGGGTCCCACTAAATTGCCTAGATGGGCTCAAACTTCAGATCCTTATGCCTCAACCTCCCTGAGTACTGGGTTTATAATTTCTTTCTTACCTCCTGCTGGAGTTAATGGGGTCTGTTGTTTTTCCTTTTGATTATTCTTATCTCTCCTTTGCATGTCTCTGTCTCTCTGTCTCTCTCTCTCTCTCTCTGTCTCTCTCTGTCTCTCTCTCTCTCTCTCTGTCTCTCTCTCTTTCAGACAGGGCCAGTTCAGGCTGTCCTTGAACTCACTATGTAGCCCAGGCTGGTCTGGAACTCATTGTGACCCTCTTGCCTCTGCCTCCCAGTGCTGGGGTTACAGGCGCCCTTGCATACTCCTGTAACTGGTTTTCTCTCGTACTTCTCCCTTAGATCTTTTCTGGATTTCCCCCCCCTTTTCTAGATGTTTTGTAGCACTATTTCCCAACTGATGCTTAATTTTACCTTGAGGGAAAATAATCCCGAAGAACAGTGTTCCTTGCTTGGTTAGAAACTTCAGGCCATGTAACAGTGAATGTTTCTGTGAGGAGCCTTGGGCTGTAGCTGGGTTCACAGCCCCTCTCTTTTCACCTCTCCCTGTTTTGTTTTGTTGGTACTGGGGATTGATCAAACCCAAGGACTTCGCACATCCCCAGCCCCTTTTAAACTTCTTATTTCTTGAGACAGGGTCTTGGTAAGTCTGTAAGTTGCCAAGGGTGTGCTGCTATTTACTGTCATCCTGCTTGCTTCCTAGAGAGTTGGGATTATGTGTGCTCCCATGCCCCCAGCAGTTTAAAAAATACTCATTCTTATATTAGTCTCCACAACCATTATCCTAGCAAGAGTGTTCCCAGGGCCTATTTTTTTCCCTTTCTTCTAAAGACAATACTCTGGAAGCTGCATTTAAGAAAGCAGCCCTTGCCTTCCTCCTCAACAACTTTGACTCTCTTAAGGTAGTAGTATTTATAGTGTTTAGATTGTATCTAAATGTTAACTTGCTATCTCAGTTAATTGAGAGAGCAAGCCTATACCTATGCGTAGTGGCTCACACCCGTAATCCCAGCACCCAGGAGGCTGAGTCAGGAGGATCACTGGGAGTTCAAGGCTTGCCTGGATTACACAATGAAACCCTGACTCAAAAAACCAAAATAAATAAATAAATAAATAAATTTAGTATTAGCCCCTTTTTATAAATGAAGAAATTGAGGATAGAAAGCATGAATAACTTGCCCAAGATCAGAGCTAATGACTGAAAGTAGGTAGAAGAATATCCATGGTGGCACCGTCCATAAGACCCTGAACTCGGAAGCCCTGTTGGACTTCGTTCTCACAGCGTGGGGCCCTGTGCACTGCGAGACTGCACGGCATAACGCATGCAGTGTGAGGTGAAGCCAGACCTCAGAGAACATGGTCTGTCGAGCGCCCAAGCAGGCAAAGTCGACTGCTGGCGGAGGTCGGGGCAGAAACTGCCTTGAGGGTCAGGTGCAGCAGTGGGTGGGGAGGGTCTGAGCTGGGGGACCTGGAGGTGGTTTGCTGTGGGATTCTTTCGAGCTGGACACTGATGAGCTGTGTGTTTCTCTGCACATACTTCAGTGACGAGGGAGGAAGGTAGCCGGGCATGTGGTCACATCTGTGATCCCAGCACTTGGGAGGCTGAGGCAGGAGGATGCTGCAGGTTGGAGGCCAGCATGGGCCACATAGTGAGTTCAAGGCCAGCCTGAAGTGCATAGGGAGACCTTGTCTCGAAAAACAAAACAAAACCAAAAATAAAAAGGAGAGAGAGAGAGAGAGATTACTTGGAATGTGAAGTGAGAGAAAACTTCTCTGGGAAGTTGACGTTAAGCATGACTATTTGAAGCATGACCAGAAAGGATCTGACTTGGCAAGAGACGGGCCATTGGTGTTCCAAGCATTAAAGACATTGCATGAGGGTGTTTGGGGCTGCTGAAAGTGAACGACCTTGAGGAACTGAAAACTAAATAAGGTTGGAACATGGGCACAAGGAGCGTGAGTGTGTGTGTGTGTGTGTGTGTGTGTGTGTAGGGGCAGAGCCTGGGCAGTGGCCCCACCTCCAGTGGAATTGTCAAGGGAAGGGCTGCAGGCTTTGGGTGCAGCCAGTTGGATGGCTAGCAGGGCCGTCCATGGACGCAGTCGCTAGTCTGGGGGACACGGGTAGAAGCAGGGTGAGAGGAGACTGTTTCTGGTGTCAGGTGGGATGCCGCATGAGCTTTGGCGGTCTTTGTCGGTGAACGTGAGCAGGTTCCTGGCTTGTGCCGGTGGAGGCCACCTGCGTCCTGTCTGTGGGATCGGATCATTGCAGTGTTGTCTGAGGATGGAGAAGAGAGAACCACATACACAGCCTAGTCTCTACTGGGTGCTTAGGGGGATAATTGTAGCCTTCTACTTTCCTCTCTCTGGAGAACCTTTGAATTCAAGCACGACGTAAAAATATGGTCCAGCACTAGAAAGTACAAGCTTTATTCCTGTGCAGCTGCAGTACTCGTAGCCCACTGTGCTGCCAACAGCTTGGAGAACCATCCATGCCTTGGAGAACCATCCATGCCTATAGAGTCCTCAGTGCAGTATTTTCGACTTGACACTGTCAGGCCAGAGGAAAACATGTCTGCACAGAACCTTTACAGGGTGACCTTGCTCGCCTTCTCTTCCCCCTCCTCTTCCTCTTCCATTATTTTTCTGACAGGGCCGGGGATGTAGCTCACTCGTTCCACTGCCTGCTTTGCAAGCGCAAGTTCCTGAGTTCGATCCCCAGTAACAAACAAAACAAAACATTATGTTTCTAACAGGCCAAAAGGATGTTTGAAGGTGAGATGGCAAGCTTAACTGCCATTCTGAAAACGGGCACGGTGAAAGTGCCCAGGCCCATCAAGGTCCTCGATGCCCCGGGAGGCGGCAGTCTGCTGGTGATGGAGCACCTGGACATGCGGTACCTGAGCAGGTTTGTCCCCACACTGTCCCCTCTGCTCGGTTGGTCCTCTGTGTGGTTCTATTCCTGAAGCTTGTACTTGAGGGTGTAATTTTGAGGAGTGTAATATAAAGAACCCGTGACTGCACGTGACAGATTCTGCCGAGGGAGCGGCATGCACTCTGCACCTCAGAGGCCAAGGAGAAGCTGGGCGTGGCGGTACACATTGTAATCCCAGGCCTGAGGAAGGCTGAGTCAGGAGGATCACAAGTGTGAGTCCTGCCTGGGCAACTTAGTGAGTCCTTGTCTTAAAATAATAAAATAAAAAGGGCTGGGGATGTAGCTCAGTGGTAGAGTGCCCCTGGGTTTGAGCCCCAGTACTGGTGGTGGGGGAAGGCACAAAGAACCCAGCTGCAGAGCCTAACAAGGGTGGGAAAATGGAGTAGTCAGACCCACCATCTCCGTCTTGCTCTGAGAGGATGGGTTTTCTGCCCTCGGAATGCGTGACCTCGCACACGTGCTGAGACCTCCCAGACAGATGTGTGTCTGCAGTCTCTGTCTCATCTGCTTCATTGCTGTCTTTCGGGTTCAAAGTCATGCTGCGAAGCTTGGGGAGCAGCTTGCAGACCTACACCTTCAGAACCAGAAGCTGGGAGAGACGCTTTGGAAGGAGGCCGGCACAGTGGGTAAGGGGTGAGTGGGCCCTGCAGGGGACACAGCAGACCGGCTCAGGGCTGGTGTTGTGCTGCTTCCTGTGAGAGTCAGTTCTGTGTTGGTGCCAGGCAGAGGAATGTGAGCTTGTTGTCTGCCTTGTCCTGAGCAAAATGAATGCAGTCAACGTACAGTTTTATAAAGCATGTAGGAGACAGGAAACATTTGGTGGACTCAGAGTCTTGCAATATTACTGTTGCTTTTACCTTTGTCCAGAAGGGAGTTGAATCAAAGCCTTTTTGGCTTTCCATACACAGCTAGTGCTTTAAACACACTGTCTTGAGCCTCAGAATGACAAGCCCCAGCTGTGCCGTGTGCAGAGCGTGGTGTGCTGTCATCACTGAGGCACTTCAGTGTTCCCAGCCTCTGACAGTAGATAATCTGTGGGCAGCCATGCGCTGACTGCTAGACAGAGTGGGTGGCGGTCAGAAAGCAGATGCACAGATGTGTGCTCGGTGGGAGGACCTGCTGACAGGTCCCATCCGGACACTTCCTGTCCCTTCCAAGCTACCTGAAGTTCAGTCCACTGGGATTTTCTTCGACAGTCTGTTCAGTGTGAGGACTGAAGTGACACGGACGCAGTGAGGTCAGGCTCTGGGCAACTTGCGCTCCAAGATTGGGGCCGAGGGTGTCCTGGAGAAAGCGCTCACAGCTCCTCTTTTGTTTTGTCCTGCTTGCAAGGGAGAGGAGATGGGCAGGCAGAACGGCCCTTCGTGGACCAGTTTGGGTTTGACGTGGTGACCTGCTGTGGATACCTTCCCCAGGTGAGTGACACAGCCACGATCAACTCAGTTGTTCAGACATGGGTGTTCAAGGAACATCTTTTCTTTTCTATGAGATCGTTTTTTTGTTTTGTTTTTTGAGACAGAGTCTTGCTATATAGTCCAGGTTGGCCTTGAGCTCACAATGTAGCCCACGCTGGCCTCAAATCTGCAGCAATCCTGCCTAAGCCTCCAGATTATAGGCCTGGCAGTTCTGTGATATTTGCACTCTTTTTTCCTTCGCTAAATTTTAAGATGACAGGAGGTTTACCCATCTTACATACTAAGTGAACACAGAAATGGAGAAGGACCAAGTTAGGATGCTGGATTTAGGAGGGTCGATTTTTTTGGGGGGTGCTAAAGATGGAACTTAGGGGAGTTCTACCTCTGAGCTACATCCCCAGGGCTCTTTTTTTTTTCTTTTGGTACCGGGGATCGAACTCAGGTCCTTGCGCTTGCGCAGCAGGCGGCAAAACCACTGAGCTAAATCCCCGGCCTTCTCAGGCCTTTTTATTTTTTATTTTTAGACAAGGTCTCATTAAGTTGCTGAGGCTATCCTTGTAACTCTCTGTGCCTTAGCTTCCCGAGTAGCTAGAATTAGACATGAGCCACTATGCCAGTGTGTAAAAGTTGGAAAATTTTCCCAGGTGTGGTAGTGCATGTCTGTAATCCCAGCCCTTGGGAGGCTGAGGCAGGAGGATCACTTTGAGTTTGAGGCCCTCTTGGGCTACAGTAGGGAGTTCAAGACCAGCCTAAACTACATAGTGAGCTACTGTGTCAAAAAACAACAATAGTTAAAGTTAGAAAATTTAAAAAATATTTCATTTCAATACATAGCCAGCACTCTCTCCATAGGTTCTGCATGTGCAGATTCAACCAATTGCGGATTGAAAATATTGAGAAAATACTGTGTCTACACTGAACACACAGAGGGTTTTTTTCTTGGCATTATTTCCTAAACAGTATAGTGGAACAACTACTTACATAACATTTACAGTGTATCAAGTCTTTTTTTGTTTTTTGGTACCAGGAATGGAACTTGGGACCTTCTGCTTGGGAGGCAGGCAGTGGCCCCACTGAGCTAAATCCCTGGCTCTACATTGTATCAAGTCTTCTAGGCAATCTACAGATGATTTAAAGTGTTCAGGAGTATATAGGAGGATCTGCACAGATTATATGCAAATTCTAGGTAATTTTATGTAGACATTTCAGCATCCTCAGATTTTGTTATGAGGGTGATCCAGTCCTCCACAGATACCGAGGGACAACTACACTAAACAGCTACTCAGCCCTTTTTATTTTATTTATTTATTTATTTATTTATTTATTTATTTATTTATGGTACCAGGGATCAAACTTGGGTCCTTGTGCTTGCGGGGCAGGCGTTGGAACCACTGAGCTAAATCACTAGCCCATACACAGCCCTTTTTAAAATTTTGTTTTGAAACAAGGTCTCACTAAGTTTTCCAGGCTAACCTGAAACTTGTGGTTTTCCTGCCTCAGGCTCCTGAGTAGCTGGGACCCTTGGGGGTTGTGTGTGTGTGTGGCCCTGAGCTATACCCCCAGTCCCTCCTTTTTTTTGGTTTGGTACCAGGGATTGAACTCAGTACCTTGTGCTTGTGAGGAAGGCGACTGCACCACTGAGCTAAATCCCCAGCCCCAGTCCCTCCTTTAAAAAAAAAAAAATTGAGATAAGGTCTTGCTAAGTTGCCCAAGCTGAGCTCAAACTTATCATCCTCCTGCCTCAGCCTCCCAGAGTGCTAGGATTGCACCAAGCCCCACAGGGTCCACATGACCTTTCTTTACCATTGTGTGGAAGAGGGGTCAGCAATGGCTAGGCATATGGTCAGCAGTGAGCCATGGGGTGGGAAGGCCAGGGCTCTGGCCTCTGGCAGTGTGAGTGTAACTGGAAGGAAATGTCCTCATGCTTTTCAGTCTTGGGGTCAGAGTTGGTCCTGTGGAGTCCCTGCTTCCCGCTACTCCTGGACGCAGACCTGAGGCCTCAGCCTGTCCTTAAGACCATGTGCTGCCCGGTCAGCTTGCTCTCTCAGCGTCCTGTGCCCACCTCCCCTTCCACATGCCGTCCCTGCAGCCCTTCCACCTGGGCCGGCTCTGGGATCATGCCCTCCATGACTCTGCTGTCGCCTTTGCTTTTGCCGTGCAGGTGAACGACTGGCGGAAGGACTGGGTCGAGTTCTACGCCCAGCAACGCATTCAGCCCCAGATGGCCATGGTGGAGAAGGGTTCCGGAGACCGGGAGGCCCTCCAGCTCTGGTCTGCTCTCCAGGTGAGTGTGTCCCATTGGCCCTGATGTCGGGGAGGTGCCACGGCAGGGGCGGCCGCCTCTGAGCTTAGTTCTGGGCAGGATGTGGCGCCTGTCGCTGAGCCAGGCCCACCTGAGCGCCATGCTGCTGTGGGGGCACGTGCAATAGCACTCAGATGACACCTGGTCCCTCTGCGAGCAGCAGCCGCTGCGCTAAGGCTCTGTCCTCCTCCTGCAGTTGAAGATCCCCAGCCTGTTCCGAGACCTGGAGATTGTCCCCGCCTTGCTGCATGGAGACCTCTGGGGAGGGAATGTGGCAGAAGATTCTTCCGGGCCCATCATTTTCGACCCGGCATCTTTCTATGGCCACTCGGAATATGAGTTGGCCATAGCTGGCATGTTTGGGGGCTTCAGCAGCTCCTTTTACTCTGCTTACCATGGCAAAATCCCCAAGGCGCCGGGCTTTGAGAAGCGCCTGCAGTTGTACCAGCTCTTCCACTACCTGAACCACTGGAACCATTTTGGATCTGGCTATAGAGGGTCCTCCTTGAACATCATGAGGAATCTCATCAAGTGAGCTGCCTCTGAGCAGCATCCCAAGGCCTCCGGTTCAGGGGCGCTGGTCTGGTTGGGACCTCCTGTTGCTCCCATCTCCAACCTTGTACATGCTTCCTGTTGTCCCTCAGACCCTTCAGGTGGTCTTTAAGCCTCGCAAAAGACGCTATCTCAGGGGAAAGGCTGTGGCACCCCGAGGTTGTACACCATTCACTTTGTGGCTGGGTGTGCCACGCTGAGGTGAACGGAGGAACTGTGAAGCTGGGGCACTGACCTGGCAGTGACTGCCGGGCCTGGTGCTGTCCGGGTGGGCTCCCGCCTGCTCCTCTGCTCCGGGCTGGGTGTCTCTGAGATCTTCTCCGTGCTGCTCCGTGATGGTAGGACCTGAATACAGAAATGGAACCAACTTGCTAGAAGCTTTTAGAAATGACCAGTTCCCAGACCAGGCACGTTCCCTTTCCTTTGTACCTGACTGCTGGACCCAGCTACAGGCTGGGCAGGTCTAGAAACATCCTGCGGGTGACCCAGCTGCCAGCCCTCAGGTGAGGTGGGTATGTGTGGGAGCCTTGAGTCGTCCCTGTCATTCCTCCGAGTACAGTTTTCTAAAGCTGGCTGAGTTGTCATTTCTTGGCACCATATAAGATGAGCATTGAACTGATATTTTTTTCCCTTCCTCATTATTGTATTGATGAGAAATTTCATGAATGCTATTGATGCTAATAAATCCTTTTGCCTAAAAATTTGAATAAACTCTCAGTGGTTTCAATGATGACTGAGACTATGTATTTCCCCGTTTGTTGTAATTCAGCATTTATTTGGGGACTGAACCCAGGGCCTTTGCACTGAGCTATATATCCCCAACCCTTTGTATTTTGAGACAGGATCTTCCTAAATGACTAAGTTGCCCAGGCTGGCCTTCAACTTGTGATCCTCCTGCCTCAGCCTCCCAGAGTGCTGGAAGTACAGGTGTGTGTCACTATGCCAGGCACAGTTGTTGCCTCTTGAACGAATTTGAGCCAGCGCCCTCGACGTTACTCTGCATTGGCACAGCATGGCGGATGGTAAGCTGAGGTTGGAGCTTTCCCAGACGATTATAGGATAGACGTTTTAGTCTTCCGCAGGAAGCAGCTTTCGCTTCCCAGATGGTGTGAACGCGCTGCAGCTTAGGGGAGAGGAAGTATAGGGAGACAGCGTCACAGGTGTGGTGGCCACTTGGCTGATAAACAGTGTTTCTCAGGGCCGGGGACTTAGCTCAGTGGCACCAAGGCTGCCTCGCAAGCACAAGGTCCTGAGTTTGATCCCCGCTACCAAAAAAATAAAAAACAAAAAAACCAGTGTTTCTCAGATTTTCTGCTGATGTGATATTTGTCAGCTTCTTAAACTTTGCCATTCATTTGCTCATCCTAAAATAGCTATTTTTAACCTAGTTTTGTATCTATCACATACAAACATGATTTTTTTTTTAGTACCAGACTTTAGGCTTTAGGCCCAGAGGGCCCTGCGTTTCCCCAGCCTTGCTTCTGTGACTCCCTAGGTGCCAGAGGTGCACCCGTCTGAGCACCAGCTCCCCGGCAGGGTTCCATCTGGGCCGGGCTGGGAGGGGTGCGGAGGGCGACGCTTGTTCTGGCCTGATGATTTAGGGGCAGCTGTCCGCGGCCCTTGCAGAGCGGCGCGGTGACATCTGCAGATGTGCAGCCGAGAGCGCTGGAGGGAGGAGTCAGGAGCGGTTTGTTGCTGTTACTGGGTGTTACTCGGTGTTACTGGGACGGGAACTCCAGGATTGTGGCTGCTGCCCGGTGCCTGTCCAGAACCCTCAGGTCTCCTCTGTGGGTAGCGGCTTTTTTCTGTCTCTTACTAATACAGGAAGATGATTCAAGAAACCATTATCTAGCATCATGCAGATACCAACCTCTCCACAGGAGGAAGGTGTTAGATAACAGGTCCGGTCCTGCAGCCTGAAGCTTTTAATTTTGCATCTTTTTAGTGGAAGTGGACCTACAGCATGTGCTCTGCTGTCTTCTTAAACAGAAGCGCCTGCCCTTCCTGTATGCTCCGTGTCCAGCCCTTTCCCAGGTTGTCTGCCGTCTCAGCGCAGGGCCTGGGGGGAGCGGCTGTGACCCAGGAGGCGGAGTGGTGCGAGGGGGCTGGACAGAGGGTGGAGGGTTGGAGGACACTGCTGGTGCAGTGCAGTGCCCCGCTCAGGCTGGACCTCCATGGAGGGCGAGCCCAGTTGGCCTTGCTGGCAGGGTATTGGGGAGCCAACCCCCAGCTTACCTCCATTCTTCCCATCTCCTCGTGGGCCCCCTTTGGCCAAACCCACACAGAAGGCCAGCTCCTTAGTGCAGTGGTGTGCAGCGCCCTGGCCCAGGGGAGAGGACGGCAGGCACTGGGTGTGAGAAGGCACCAGCTGCCCTCAGGACCGTGGATGGCCACCTGCACCCCGCAGCTCCCTCTCCCCCTGGTGTCTGCCCCCACCCTTGGGGCACCTCCCCTGCCCACCTTCCTGCCCACCTGCCCTTCCCCGCTTCCTGGGTTTGCCCTGGAGTTCACCGGTCGCATCATCTATTAAAATATTGTTTACTTTGAGACAGAGTCTTGCAAAGTTGCTAAATTGCTCAGGCTGCCTTCAAACTTGAAATCCTCCTGCTTCACCCCCCTGAGTAGCTGGGATTATGGGCTTGTGCTGCAGATCTTTCAAAATACTACAGTCCACACGCTGTGAAAGTCACCCTACTGATGTTTAAGACTCACTGTGTGACGGGCCTGCCCGAGTGGTCAGTGGTTCTTCTTAGCTCCACAATAGAGGACTCCCTGCCCTGCCTGCGTGTCTGACTCGTCCAACTCTTCACTCACTCTGTCCAGAATGCCGAGGCCACAGTGTCACTGGACTGTCACCAGCTGTGTGAAGGAAGGCGTCAGGGGCCGTGAGGGCCCCGGGTCGGGTGAGGTTCTTCCTAAAGTGACCACTGTCCTGGGCAGGGCGTGACGGCAGCCACACCCCAGACTCCTCCCTGGGAAATGTCCAGACACCAGGGACAGAGAAGACCCTGGAACCTCCAAAGAGGAACATATCTACACAGATCAGCCAGTGCCTCAGACCCTCAGTGCCCTGGGTCTGCAGGACTGAGGCCTGGCCAGCCTGGCTGCTGTGGCCAGCTGAGCAGCCAGCTGGGAATAGAAGGGCTCCCGGGTGTGCAGGGGCCCAGACCTGCCTGTCTCGATGCTGCGTCCAGGCCCTGGGCAGGCAGGCTTCGAACGAGCTGCGGCTGGAGAGAGGGACAGCTGTCTCGCCTGTCCTCTGGGGGCCTCGCCACGCCCTTCATGTCCCTGGGCGCCTGTGGCCATGGAGACCCATACCAAGTATGGAGTGGTGGTGTGTGTCTCCAGCCTGGAGCCTGGTTCCTGCTGGGCTGGCTCTGGGAACTGGGCCTCCATGGTTGGGGAGCCACACGGACATGTCCTGCACAGCAGTGACCACTGAGCCCCAGTTCCAGGCCTCCCACCTGGGTGCCAGACACAGGAGTCAGAGCCCCCAACCCAGTTTTGAGTGGGGCCAGGCCAGGAGAACTGCTGAGCTAGCCCGCACCTACCTCTTCCCCCCTCCGCATCAGGTCGAAGAGATCATCTCTGGGGCTCCAGCTTAGCAGGTTTCTTTTCCCAGGTTGGGCTTGTATTAGTGATCCTCCTGCCTCAGCCTCCTGAGTAGCTGGGACCGTAGACAGGTGACACCACACCTGACTCAAATTTCTCCTTCCTTTCTTTTCTTTCATTTATTATTATATATATATATATATATATAAAATTTTCTTTTTTTTATGAAACAGCATCTTGCTCTGTAGTTCAGCCTGACCTTGAACCCACTATGTAGCTCAGGCTGGCCCCCAACTCAGAACAATCCTCCTGGCTCAGCCTCCCCAGTGCTACCATGCGTGTACCACCACGCCTGGCTCTTATGGCTCAGATTTCTTGGCTAAAGCCTCATGCACATGCTGATTTGATCAGGTGCGGTAGGTTTCGTCTTCGCAGTGGCTGCTAACCTCTTAGAAAAGGTGTTACTGACATGGTGGTGGAGGCAGAGCCACAGGGCTGGGCTCTGGAGGCCAGAAGGGAATGCCAGGCAGCTGGATGTGGGCCGGCTTCCTGGGGTGACTGGGATGCAGGCTTGGACACCACAGCTGAGAGGAGGGGCCGAAGGCGGAAAGACTGACTCAAATTCCGTCTGCTACCTCCTGGCCCTGTGGCCTGGGCAGGTTCAATCTGTTTCCTCACCGGGAAGGTGGGAGCTGCTGATGGCGGTGAGGCTTAGCTGACGTTTCACTTAGCCCCAGCACACAGTAAAAGCTCAGTCATAACTCTGTGCAGCTTGCCTGTAACCCCAGCACTCCAGGAGGCTGAGGCAAGAGTGCCAGTTCAGGTCCTGCTTGGGTGACTCCTGACTTAACAAGACTGTCTCAAAATGAAAAACAAAAAAGGACCAGGAGTTTTTTCCTCAAAAATAAGACCAGATCGTATATTAATTCTTGCTCCAAAAGATACTGTAGAGCTTATGTTCAGAGGATGTCTTATTTTTTTCATGTATGATGATCTGTATTTTTTTCATGCACAGCAATCATTTATTTAAGTACAAAAACTAGATTTATTCACGTATAAAACCCTACATTTATTCAAATACAGTCATGTCATCTTTGGAACTTCGGCCTGAATCTCTAGCAACTCCATTTCCCGGGGAGCCACTGGCCCGGGCCCTCCTGTGCAGCCACGGGGCTCTCTTCCTGTCCACGCAGCCTGCTC